TCAAACTTATTACTTCAAAAAGGCCCAAGATTCAGAAGATTACTAAATTTACAAATGAAATTTTTAATGATTGATTGGATCAATGTAAATAATTCATCTTATGATTTTGAATTAATTCATTGTGGCTCTCAAGATGGATTTTCAAGGGCAATTTTTGAGAAGAAATGTTACAACATTGAACAAACCATGATTATAATGAAAATTAAGGGAACTGAAGAATTAGTAGTTGGATATAATCCAGTGTGTTGGAATAAGGAAGACATGTTTCCAGATGAGGAGTATGAAATTGAAGCAGATGGAAGTTTTATTTTTAAGACAGACAAAAAACAAATTGATGATTCAATATTAAGCAGAGTCAAAAAACCTGAATGGGCAATATCTCATCAATGCCAAATTATTAATTGTACTGTTGGCAATGTAACGTTCAATGAAGTATTAGTAGATTTTTATGATTTACAAATATGCAACAGTATTAATGGTGAACCTTATTGCTATTATAATTATGGTGCAGAAGTTTATGAAAATGATTTGGACCTTATAAATAAGGATAGCAAAATTCATTTGTTAGAAAATTATGAAGTATATAAGTTAGTAAAGAAAATATAAAATAAATTTTAATAAAAAACAATTATTGCACTCACTATATATAACTGAGTATAAATAAATAAATTTCATGAATTTTTTTTACAATGCAACGAATGACTTTTCACAATACCAAAAAATTACATATACACAATTAATAAATAAAAATATAATGGTAAGTTAAAAAGTGATTTTTACTTTTATTACAAACATGACTCTCAATTTAGATAAATAAATTTGTCTAACAATTTTAATTTCAATTAATTACTTACCATTTCCACAATCAACTATGATGGTAGTAGTTATATCAGATATAAAGGAATTTTCCATTAAGTACATTCAAATTTTTTGTTAAAGCCAATGTCTGAATAAAATAAATAAATAAATGGATGTTTGTAAGTAGAATCATGATCTTGGTTATTAACAATATTAAATAAACTTGTACACATAAAGACATCAGATCTTAAATTTATACTTTACAAATATGGCTCTCCAGTCTTTGTAAGTTATAACAATGTTCATTAATAAATTGATATCATGATAAATAAAGTGCAGTCCAATTGTATGCCAGACATGTGATCTGGCCTTTTTCGTTTTATTAATATTTTTATATTTGTATTTTTGTTAAGTATTGATAATAATTGATAAAGAGACTTTATAATATTTGATTTTGATTTTATTTTACATTGTAAATCTGCACATGATTTTTTTTTCAAACCATGCAATGTCTGTTGTCCCATACACAATTCTATTCAAAAAAAAAAAAAAGTGAATTTTAATTTTTACCAAGTTATTATTAATTATATTATTGATAGTATTTTTAAGAAATGACAAAATCAAAATTTGGCCTCATTTGAGATGTCCACCAGCAATATGGGGGTCTGAGAACTCCTGGCCAAAATTGAGTTTTTTGTATAATGTATATCTATATCATAAGGATTATAGTTGGTGAAAAATTTAGAACATGTTTACCTAGTACAATAATGAGATA